CACGGCTGCACATAATCACTTCACTTCTGATGGGAAAATTCATCCTTGAGGCTTGACTGTGGGTGCCAATATAAAGTCTGACTCAAAAATTCAAAAGACAAACAAATCAATCACGCATGTGTCATTAGTGATGCCCATATAGATATGTTGCCAATACCTACCCAGTCATGCACTCTAACCATGTCTGGCAGTTGCCTGTGATGGATTAATGTGTAGCTACTGTAGTCAATCAAGATGGATTCAGCTATATGTAGAATCAATCCCAAGTAGTATATTACAAAATATACTGCTGAAATATTAATACAGTTAAGTAACAAGTGCAATATTTTCATATAAAATGTTGTAAAGCTAATGTAAAAAGTTAGCCAAATTGAAAATTATTGTGCAAGCCTAAAGTACAGCACTTGGATAAATGTACTTTATTAAATTAATTTTAATTAATCGTAAAAGTTGTGGAGAGGCATGAAGAGGTTCGTGAGGGACCAGGGCAGCGAGTTTGCGCTAAATCCCGAGTAAACCCACACAGAAAAGTAGGACGCTACTGCAAGTGCATTAACTAAATGATTAATGTTGCAAATTTCCAAAGGTGTCGAAAGCAGAAATAAACCCTTGAGGCTAAAATTACAAGCCACATCATTTTTACTGCACTTAATGTGCATTTGCACATAACCACATACAGGACTCAGTATGTCCCATCAATGTCACTCAGAGTGAAAACTGCAGGTCTGCAGCCAGCTCGCCGCTTTTGGCTTTTATTAAGAAAAACAGTAAAATAATAATAATAATAATAATAAAGTCTTTCTCTGCAATAATTATAGTTATCATTCTTTGACAAAATTGTGAAAACCCCTATGAAATTAACCACATTGGAATGAAAATGGGGATCAGTGAAATGGAACAATCATTTCTCCGATCAGTACTGTAGGTGTTAACTCTACATCGTAAAATGTCGTGTTGTAAAAATTTAGTTGTCAGAGGGGAGCAGTAATCAAGCCCGGAGGCCAATAGTTTGTTCATTCATGTTATTAAATTCTTGAAGGAATCTTCACACATAATTACATCTACGTGCACCTGGTGTGGTGCTACAGCCTGTACTCATACGCTGCACTTCTTGGCTCCCTGTGGGCACATCATCAAATAAAGCTCTGACAGTCAGCTTTATTCTGATAAATGAGAAAGTAATCATCCTCCAAAGCGGGCTGATCTTTTTACAGGTACAAACATTTAGCATTTTTACTCAAGCTAATAAACATGTTTTCACTTTGAGGTGTTATTTAGGCCAATTAATGACATGCTTGCTTCAGTTATGTAAGTTCTGCGGCTATCTGCAGCGATCACTGATCAGAGCGCATTTCATTTCATCCAAAAGCAAAAAGTGAAAATAAAAAACACAGAAAGGACCAAAATCGATGGTATTTCTGAAAGATAATTAACTTCATTGTTCGATAGTGCAGTTTAACGTCCATGGTTAAATAAACAAATTCACACTAAAGTGAACAGACTGAAGACTCCTGCTGCTTTTGTTGTGCCCGTTTCTCTTTCACACAACAGACACCTGCTCTTCTGTGACATCGACTAATAATTTGGAAAACAGAAGACAATTTATTTTACAGCAGGCTGCAAACCAGTTCTTTGGAAATATTCCTTTTATTATTTTTTTAACAACAAGTATTTAGAAACATAATAAAAGTCAATTTATGAGAAGTTCAATGAAGCACACACACAATCTAATTGATCATGACTACAAAGCGCAAGATTTTTTATACATCAGGCTTCCCTAGGTGAGCTTGAGTACACTCAAATTGATAAAATAAAGATTTGACACAACCAGAAGTACGTTTATATTTAGGAAACTTTTCAATTTGAACAAAAACAAAAAAGCCAGAAAAACTGTAGTTAGCAATCGCCAAACAACGGATTGCTTGATTAGTTTGTTTATAATAATGTTACTAAAGCAACAGTTGAATGTTGAGGTCATCCACTGGGAACAACAGTTCAATTGGGAACACTTCACATTCCTCAGTAGAACAAACCAGTGTTTGCATGTTACTTTCTTCCTCGAGGTGAGATTTGACTCTCAGCTGCATAAGAAGTCAAATGTTATGAAAGACTTCCATCCTCCCATGATTTACCTTGCGGTTTAAAAAAGAAAGGAAAATTCTACATAATCATGCCCTCTGGGTAGCAGTATATTTTTCTTAAGACGTATGAGAAAAACTTTCTCATCCTTGAATACCAAGAGGTTTGGGCTGGAGATCATATTCTGTATGTGTGATGTATGTTCTCTTTAAGTAAATCAAGTGCTGGTTTCAGTTTACAGCCAATTGTTTAAAGGCATTCTCTTTAGCGTAGATTTGCACCACAGCTGCATCTTACATATTAATAAATTCATTGTTATTCCGATGCTACGCTTTAATATGTTCACTTGGCTCTTTGCTAATATCCTGCAGTTTGCCGCTGGGCAGACAGTCTACATTTTTAGAGCTTCTTCCCTAAATTTGTTATTTTTACACTGCTGCGGAGGCAGTAAACCAAAACAATAAAGCTAACCAAAATACTAAGGTCTGGTGTCGCTCCAGCTGCTCTGAATTATTTCACTTGTAGTTAGATTTCATGGACAGTGCCATTTTGTGAAGATATTTGTCGTTGTTCCAGATTAATAACACATTGCTCAGTTTTGATGTTTCAATAGGGAAATGACTGCTTATAGGCCATGAATCTCTCTGTCCCCCAACTGGCCAAATGTTGTTTAAAGGAGCTTAAATGTACACTCAAAGATAGGAAAAGGGTAAATAAAAAGGATTTAAATGTTTTGGGTTGTTGGTTTTTGTTCTTTGTATTTTAACTTCTGATTTCTGCAGTGCAAATAAATTGCAGGTACTGGTTGTCTGCAGCATGGGAATGTACCCCTTGTCTTTCAAGTTGAAACACAAACCTTTGTTGTAAAGGCCTGACTGACAATAACCCTAAACTGGGTTTGTTAGGTAGACATTCTTGGAATCGTATTTTTCCAGAGTCTTTGTTCCCCAGTGTTATGTATGTATTTACCATCCATAATGTACAGTTGCATGTTATGGAACAAGATTAAAGTTCACAGTTCACATTAGCAAAAAAGTGCACGACAAAAGGTCAGACACACAGAAAATGTTGGCTGTTAATACTCAGTGGTCTTTAAAACAATTGGAGAATCACAATCGATTTTTTTTAAAATATAGAAATTAAAGTTAAGTTGCGGCGTTGAGGCGTTGGCTGCACCATGTCTCTACAGAAAAGCTTAGCAAAAATCCACTGAACAAAACATTCCTGCACTTGGTGTTTTAATATTGGTGATGACGAGGGCGATTAAAATCCCCCACAGCTGTTCTTTTAGCTTAGGATCTGGTGACCGCAAAAGGTTATTTCATATGCATTTTTATATGCATACATATATATAGTTAGGTAACTGCTTTTAATTGCATGCCACATGTATTATTATATTATTATCATTTAATTTTACGTCTTGTACATTTTTTTAAATTATTTTATTTATGATTAACAACAAAACTAAACTGGCACATAGCAATAACATTAGATTCACAATTTTATCTTTTGCTTTTAATTTATTTTCACAGGATGAATTCAATAAATGTTTAGATATTTTAAAGGGGTCAAACAAAAAAACATACAAATACTTGATGAAAGTTTAGAACTCTGAGTTAAATTACAGGTGACACATAAGAACTTTGTAAGCGCTGAGCTTTGTACCGGTTTACAGAGATGACTTACAATCTTTAGCACCCCAATACCTTCTAAGTATCATTCGGAATACATTTTAAAAAGTGTGACTCATAAACATGCCAGGAGGCCTTTATGTCAGCCATGATTCAGTAGACCACTTCATAAATCAAGGAATTGATTCCAAATGTTTCACACTTTGGCTCCAACCTCTTTTATGCTGGCTTCAGCTTAGAGTGATTTTTCAGATGTAGAAACATCAGGTTGAGGTTTAAGTGGAACGCAAAAAACTTAAAATAAATAAATAAAAGAAAGAAAGAAATAAAGCCCCCTCAGTGTGAAGTATCAAGAAAGAATGTAGTTTTAAACTTGCTCTGGAAAGTAGAGAAGCGTTTCGTCATTTTTTAAAATATTATACGTGCTTTTTTCAATTACACAAATACATTCAGATACTTCCTTTGTTACGCCTTGCTAGGACTGGGTTGAACACCCTTTTTGCCTTCAGAACTGCTTTCATTCTTCATGGCATAGATTCAACAAGGTGCTGGAAACATTCCTCAGAGATTTTGGCACATGTTAAAATGATAGCATCACACAGTTGATGCAGATCTGTTGGCTGTACATCCATGATGCCAGTCTCTCATTCCAACATATCCCATAGATGCTCTGTTGGACTGAGCTATGTGTGAGACTGTGGGGGTCATTTGAGTACAGTGAAAGGGAGGAACATGGTCATCAACAAGCTCACTAGGCTTGGCATTTAAACAATGCTCAGGTGGTACCAAGGAGTTCAAAGTATGCCAAAAAAGGATCCATGCTTTCATGTTGTTTACACCAAATTCTGACCCTACCATCTGAATGTTGCACCTTTAAGTGAGACTCACCAGGCCAGGCAATGTTTGTCCAAGGTTTGTCAGTCCAATTTCGATGATCCCATTTGAATTGTGGCTCAGTTTCCCAATCGTAGCTGACAGAAATGGCACCTGGTGCCATTCTGTTGCTGTAGCCCATCTGCTTTAACTTTCCTTGTATTGTGTGGTGCTCTTCTGCATACCTTTGTTGTAACAAGTGTTGATTTGAGTTACTGTTGCCTTTTTTACAGCTTAACACAGTCTGGTTATTCCCCTTTGACCTCTGGCATTCATTTTTCAGCAGCAGTTGAAATACTCTGATATACCAATGTTGGCATCCAAGTCGTGCCAGCTAATATTATTACTGTTATAATAATAATAATAAATATGCTGTCGTCTCATGAACAATAAAATAACAGCATTTTAAAAAGCTGGTTATTATTTAATCAAAGCATAAAAGACTTTAATGCATATTCACATCACAAAACATTACATTTTGTTTACAAACAACTGTAAAATGACAACAAATATCATGTTCGATGTAGAAGGTGGGCTCCATTAGACTCAGGTAGTGTGCATTTGAGCAACATAATATCATAATTGTCATATCATATTTGTTAAGATGCTGTACTTTTCTATATGTAACTGAATCAGAATAGGTGAAGCAATATTGACGTGGATTTTGTGAAGTATTTCTTTTTTCTTTTCTTTCCTTAATGATCTTCTGTATGTTGTTTACATGATCAAAATAAATTGAACATAAACAAACAATAAATGTAATTAAGCATCTTGATGATTTTATCATATCTGGATAATCTGTTGTGAAAGGAGCAATCTTTATTATCAGTGATTAGGACCGGTAAGTTCACTCTATGACACACCGGGCTCATTTATTTAATGACCCAGAACATAAACAGCAAACTGTAAGCCACACAGGGGCCCTGAACCTGCTGTTGAATAGTCAGGATGTCTGCTCGGAAATATTTCCCATGGTATACTGTGGGAATAAGACCTTGCTCACTGTAGGTTTACACTGAGGCTCCAGGGTAGGCTTATTTAGGGTGGACTTAGAGTGACATTCCAAGACGATAGGTGGTATTAGTGTTTCAGAGGGTCCATATGACCTCAGTCTGTCTACAAGGGGAAGGTGTTGTGTGAGAGAAATTTCAAACAAAATAACGCCTTAATGGATAAAATGTAAAACAAAAATGTAAAAACAACAACAACAGCAAAAAGTGACCATGGTCGCGATTTTTAAAAATATGTTATCACAAGGCAAATTATCTCACAATCTCAGGAGAGCCAACATGTTTTCTTATAATGAAAATACATTTTCCTCCTGTTCTTGAGAAAACAAAGACTCAAATTAATTAGAAAGTTATCTCGTGAGCACATGGAGAAATATTTTCTTTTGCATAGATTACAAGGACATTATACCATTATCTGGATAACTTTGTTATTCCAAGATCCAAGATTGAAAGAAAGCATCACAAACCACAGCTTATATCAGCTTCTCACAGTATCTGCTGAAAAACATTGTAACTCCTGGTATTGGCTTTATTTATTGCTCATCTTTTTTTAGCACAAGAAAAAAAGCAGGTGATGAAACTTGTATAATTATTAATATCAAGTTTTAGATTTTAAATGTATTAAATACTGTACAATGGGGCACTGGCTTAGAGAGATAAAATATTTGTATACATGTGGTGGCAGTTCCCATCTCACAATCTGAGCATGAGTTGGGCTAGAGCGTAGATAATAAATTCAACTCAGCACATGTGATCGCTACAAGTAAGTAATTTTTGGTGAAAAGAGTTAAAGCACTGTGATTGACCTTATGCACACCCAACAGACAACAAACCCTGAGGCTACCCAGCTGTGCTGCACTCAGTACCTCCCCACATCAGACCACTTTTCTAGACCAGAGAAGCTCAATTTCTGATGAAAGAATTTCACTTCACCGGGTCTGGGTACTTATTGTACATTTACACAGTCTGAGGCAGTTGTATATTTGTAATGAAGTATTTGTATGGCGTGAGGATCAAATACGCAGAAAGAGAATTTAAAGAAAAAGCAGGATTTACACAATGGTGAAAAAGAATTGTGAAATTTTGTCACACCATATAAAAAGGTTCACTTATATAACTGAAAGGATTTACATGTAAATTCTCCTGATATCTTGTCCAAAGATTAAGAGTCACACCTGTTTTAATAAAAAGCATACAACAAGTAAATAACATGAAAATAGTCACTATTACTGGCTAACAGATTATATAAAGTTACCAGTCTTACAGGAAGAAAAGTTATTTCATCTCTACAGTAAACCACTGTTACTGCCAGTGTTAATGATGTTTTGTCATGCAGTTAAAGGAAATCCTGGCTCCCACCTCTATTTCGAGTAAGCTTCTTTTTTATTGACCTGCTATGTTTAACGGTTGATTAAGGAATGGGAATACGAGCTTTTAAATGTACATACAATTCACACACACTATACATACAACACAAAGTGAGGAGATTTTTGAAAGTATATACATAATTTGGAAAATGCATGCATAGTTTTGACTCTGTGCATCCAATGTGTTACATATCATATCATGGCATATGCTTGCTTTCAACACTGGATTCTTTAACAAAACTATAAACTATAAAACTATAGACACGGTCTTGTTCTCCTCACATTAAAAAGTAGCTCTTTAAGTATAACAATACTACTTTTTTTCCACAATCAATATTATCACATTACTTAATGTTCACGGCCTCTCATTCTTTGTCTTATCTTTCTTGCACACAGATGCCAATTTTGACAAGTTTAATTCCGGAGCTGCATTCCCAAACCTGCGACTACACATGAAATATGTGAAAAACACTGTAATGCTAGTTTAAGCTCGAGGGCCTAATATAAGTCAGTTATTAGAGCTTCCTCATTTTAAACTCCATAAATTAAGCAACAGACACTAACATTTACTCCTGTAATTTTCCTGTTTGATTTTCTAGAGCAGTCTGCGTAATCTGACTTGGCTTTAGTTTATATTAACTGCAGTTTTTCTGCCGTGAGAATATTTTTGTTACTTTTACTCTAAATTCTGAAAGGTGCAAACATTTTAGAGAATAAATAAGCAAAGTTTGTTTACTCAGAATCTGTTAGAGGACACTGAATAAATGTATTTATTGCATAGCTGAAGGGTAATGATATAATAAGATGCATTGCATAGTTGTTTTTTACATGAATCCTAGCTATACACCATAAAGCAGTTCACTGGCTCTGAAGTTGTTATTAATCTGAGTTTGCTGTGGAACTGAGATGAAAGCTTGATGAACATCAATAATGGTTTTAACAAATAATATAATTAAATGCTCTCCATACAGGCTACATAAACTCAATAATATGCCTCATAACACAAGTGGCATTCTCCATTGTGGAATGGTGTTTTAATGGCAAAGTATCAGGCAAAACATCAAAATATCATGGCTTCATCCTGCTTTACATAGCTCCTCCTGGCGCTTTTCCCTCTACAGCATTTTTGTGAAAATACCTCCGTCTTCCTATATACATTGATATGATCTCATTATTTTTTAAAGACTGAGTCAAAGGCCGTTCATAAAACTACATATGAACGCAAAGGGAGGGTCTAAACGAGCTTTGCATAACAAAAGGTCACCAGCTATTATGCTGTGGTTAAAGTTCTCCTCATGAGGCTCTCAGATGGGATCGAAAGGGGATAGGCTCCGTGGTCTGTATCACATTTGCTGAAATTTCTGAGTTCCTGAAACCCACTTGCTCCAAGAGTTATGATGCTGAGGAATGTCGGCAGTGTTAAACTCCAAAGTTCTTTCCCTGTGCGTACCTGGGAAGGCAAAGTGCCAAACGGAAAGAAATGAAGGGTCCATTCACCGAAGAAGAAGAGAAGAAGATGGAGGTGCATCAAACTGTCATCCAAGTCCAGGAATTTTATGACGACTTCGGGTTGGGAGGATCTGTATGAAGCTTTGAAGAGAACATATCAGACTAAATTAGTAATACTGGAGAAGCAAATATTGCAATTCAGTGCTGCAGATCTATAAAGTTAGGAGACTCAAAAGAGACTGCGTCATTGTGGCTTCACTTCATGGTTCCCAGTGTGGGATTATACAGTAATACAAATTGCCCTTATTTAGACAAATGTGTTGTATCCAGAAGCACACAGTACAGTAAAATCAGATACTTGACAAATTTATTCACCAACCTCTTTCTTCCCATTTTAAACAAATGCCCAATTTACTAAAAAATATACTACAAGTTTCTGCTTAAAATAAGTAGGAAGAGTCAAACACTTGTGTATATGTTTTGTGTATATTTTATAAATTAGCACACTGTCCATTGATCACAGCATATTTAAACACCAGGAATCTATTCAAGCTACAGTTTGTTAGAGAAAATTGCTTGCTCTGGATTTGTGGTGGCCCACTACAATCCTAATTTAGATTTGTAAATGTCACAGCATTTTCCTTTCAGTATGAGAACCTCCCTCATGCTTGAAAGTTAACCTTTGACTGTCCAGGCTTGTCAAACTGAAGTAAATTTCAGCTCCCTAACAATTACGGGCAGTTCCAAGAAGCAGCTGATAGCACTTGTTTGTGCAGCCTATGTAACCTATGAGCAGCTATTACCCTGCACTTATGTGGCGATTTAAAGTGCTGCATGCTGCTGAAGTTCAGGCTTTTCGCGCAGTGATTTATCATGGTATGTTTTCTGCACAGCTATTGAACAAACTGCTATTCATCAGAGCCTGACTTGAAATTGTGTTAGCTGGTCTTGAATCATCAGCAGGAGAAAATCGATTTTTATTGCCACGTAAAAAACAAACATAAGGGAAGCCCAAAATAAATTAAATGTCAATGACGAATCACTGCAAGAAAAAGTTGCCTATTCTGTCTGATAACAGGCTAGACGATGTGCCTATCAGTTATATTTATAAGAAAAAAAGTACCAGTCACACCACTGCTCTAGAGCAACCATCCATCCATTTTCTTCCATCTAATTCAGGGTTGAGAGGGGGGCTGGAGCCTGGAGGCGAGGCGGAGTAAACCTGGACACGTCGCCAATCACTGACACAGAGAGACTGACAACTACTCACATTCACATCTAGGATCAATTTCGAATTCCCAGTTAACCTAACTCCAATAATTGCACGTCGGAGAACCCAAAGATATCCCACACAGACACGGGGAGAACATGCAAACTCCACACAGAAAGGCCCCAGTCAGAGGGTGGAGTCAAGCCCAGGGCCTTTTTGCTGTGAGGCAACTGTGCTAACCACCTTGCCAAAGTGCTAGAAGATGCCCACCTAGAAGAACCTAACTCAATACTGGTTTTCTTGTTAGGTAGTGCAAGCCATTGCTGAAAACATATTTTACACGAAGCGAAAAGTCTGGGTGTTTTTCTCCAGCTGTGTCCACGTGAGAATAGCACAGCTGTCCAAAGCAACTGTGTGGATATATTTTTTGTCCTGTGGGCTCTAAAGGCAGCACCGTACAGATAAACCAGAATAATTCAAGTACATGATCTGGCCTGTCAGAAAGTAGAACTGCTGACAATGTCAATATTTCCGTCTGGGCATTTTCTGAAGTTCATGTTAAATTTATTATAAGCCTCTTGTCAGCACAAGGTTTATTTCTGTCACTCTTTAGGCTCATTTATGGATGCAATCAAAATTCACAAAAGCAGAGAGAGAAAAAGGATTGTCTCGATATCGTTTTTACAGAAATAATCAGACTGACCTTGACAGACAAAAATCACGACACTCCGGGTCTGCATCGGTCACAACACAACGGCAGCGCGGTGTCTCTGCCCCCTCGTGTTGGGACGGCTGAACACCACGTCGTTTTCGCTGACGTCCTCTGTAGTTCGACATTCCGTACGGCACAGTGCGCCTTAGAAGGACAGAGAGAGGCCTTTTTTCAGCATTTAGCAACAGATGAGCAAAACAAAGCAAAAATAATAAATGGAGCAGATACATCAGGGCCTTCACACTGTCAGTGCTCAAACCCTACGCAGAACAAATTTGTTTTAAGTTTTAATTATTAATTTTAAAGCAATTTTTAAACAACTACATTTTTATTTTCTCCAGTGAACCAGGGAACATTTGTTCTTTTGATAATGGAAAATGCCGCCAGAAAGGTCAGTGAAACTGAATAAAAAACGAACCTGACATATGACTTCGATATATCACATTTATAATGTTAGCATCCATCACTATATTGTCTATTCTGGCCCTAATCCTCGCATCTGGATAACATTTAGATTCCAAGTGCCAGGTAGGCATCACTTCTTTTCTCTTTCCACTCATCTCTTTTCAACCATGTGTGATTGA